TACTGATAGGCAGTCTGGAAAGAAAAGAGGCTTTGGTTTTGTTACATTTGATGACCATGATCCTGTGGATAAAATTGTATGTAAGTATCTGTAAGCTGCTACTGGTATGATTTTTTTTTTTTTTTGGTATATAAACATTTCTAACGTTCTTAAGAGATTATCTGGCTTAAGGGTTGATTTAATTATTTTTTAAATTTCAGTGCAGAAATACCATACCATCAATGGTCATAATGCAGAAGTAAGAAAGGCTTTGTCTAGACAAGAAATGCAGGAGGTCCAAAGTTCTAGGAGTGGAAGAGGAGGTAGCTTTTTTTTAAAGTACAATTTTTTTTCTCTTGCGTTTGTACACATTGACTTAGTTCTAATAGAGCATTTGTCGTAGGCAACTTCGGTTTTGGGGATTCGCGTGGTGGAGGAGGAAATTTCGGCCCAGGACCAGGAAGTAACTTTAGAGGAGGGTCTGGTAAGCTATAGTTTTTATGTTCTTAATGTATGATTGTACTTGTTTGACCCTTTTAAACTACTAGAATCAGAAAATATGTCCTAGTCACTCCTTAGACTCTAAGAAGTACTTGAGTCTGTTTACTGTTTAGTAGGAACCAACCCATAGTTGACCCTCCTCCAGCAGGCTTTCATATGCCCTTAAATCCCATAAGAGAGGAGATTGCCCATCCTTCTCCCACCTCTGAACATCTAGTGGATTTGAACATGCTACATGCCTTTGGGATTGATAGGCAGTGCAGTTCCTAACCACTAGACCATGAGTGAGCTCCCCTTGAGTAATACTGTAAGTCTGAAAAGTTTTGTTTTAGCCTTCAGAATTACCCTGTGTATTTCAAGAACCAGTAAAATGTTGGTTCTATCCATGCAATGCTTCTATATAAATAAATGGCGACATCTTTAAAGGACTTTTCCAAGTCATAGCCTCAGGTTTGGATATTATTCTTGAGTACTTGAGAGGTAGTTTAGTGCCTATAGAGGTACTAGTAGAATTTGTAGAGGAAAGACATGGTAGAAATGTGATTAAATTCCACCCTCCTTTTCTCCGTCTTAACAGATGGATATGGAAGTGGTCGTGGATTTGGGGATGGCTATAATGGGTATGGAGGAGGACCTGGAGGTAAATTTTTCCCTTAATTTTTGTCTTCAAGGTGTTTCAAAAATTCATCTTCCTAATAAGTAAAAAGCCACTTTAATTATCACAGATAAAATTGTGAACCACTGTTAACAAACTATTTGCTTGATTGGAATACAGAGAAGCATGATACTGGGTAATTTTAAGTTAGGTTTAATGAACAAGCTGAATTCTTCAATTATAAGATGTCTGAATTACATAAATATGCTACTTTATATTCTCACTTGCTGCTTTGAGTAGGGCAGTTAGTAACACTAAGGTAACAGGCAACTTTTTTGTACTTTGTCCCAGTGATTTCACACATAATACACATTTTAAAACCATTTGAAGCTGCCTTTGAAGGGGACACCTAAAATCACTACTTTGGGAGGATTGTTACAGAGCAGTATTTCAAGCATTCGCCGTAAAGTTTTTAAAACCCAATTGGCTGTGAATAGGCTTCCCAAAGGGTGTTCTACCATTGACACTATTGTAGAATGTGACCCTGTTTCATTTATGGAAATGTTCTAGAGAACTGGAAATGCGGTAATAAGATAAAATGGCATTACTAAGTAATTACTTAAAAGCTTGTTTTATAATAGGTGGCAATTTTGGAGGAAGCCCTGGTTATGGAGGAGGAAGAGGAGGATATGGTGGTGGAGGACCTGGATATGGCAACCAGGGTGGGGGCTACGGAGGTGGTTATGACAACTATGGAGGAGG